CCCCATACAATAATGTAGAAAACCCCCCACTATCCAATATAATGCACTGAAACCCCCCGTAATATAGTACCCCCTCCCCTTGGATGGCTGAGTGTGTTGGGAGCAGGGAGAAGCTTTACTCAGACGATCAGAGTCCAGTCCGCGCATGCGCAGTATAGGGGTAGGGAGATTTCACAGGGCTTAATCGCCATCAGATTTCCCTACCCCTATAGTGCGCATGCGCGCTGTCTGTGAAGCTCTCCCTGTCCCCAAGTGCGCACGCGCGCTGTACCTCCGACGGGAGTAGTTTGGCGCGCGTGCGCACTGCACTTTATGCGACTCCTCGCTGTTCAAAGTCCCTACCTAGGTGGTGTGCGCCTGCGCGGCTGCGCACACCCCCGTCCCAACGTCACTTCCGGTGCGGCTTCGTCACCGGAAGTGACGAGGGTAGGGTTTTCTAACGGGGTAGGGAAATTTGATAGAACATGGGCTCATTTGCATGTCAAGCTGGGAACTCTGGGATAATTGTGGAAACATGATTTCTTGAATTTCAGTGCCCAAGGACGGCTTTCCAAAGTTCAACTTGAAATATTCAGCTGATGCAACAATATTTTTATATTTTTTATAGTTGCACTGTGGCGAGGTATTTTGGCTATTAAATAGTTAAGTTAAAAAAAAATAATGAATAGAAATATATATATATTCTGCAATATAATAAACAATTAAGCTGTGTGTACTTCAACTTGGCAGATTGGGTTAATCCACAGATTCCTTTGCCTTAAAAACAAAAGAAGACAAATATTAAAATCCTGTTTTTCCAGACCAGTACCTGCACCATCAGTTCTCTGTCACTTGACAAGGAAGTTATTGGTAAAATGCTTTAGCTCCAAGCACTGATTCCATTCTGGAGCACAGCATTCAGGGGGATGTAGTTCTTTGTAATAAGATATCTCTTGCTAGCTAAATAGCCCTTTATAAAAACCTATTTCTGATAGAATATTTATACATTTGGCCGCATGCCATGTAAGCTACAGCCTTTCTGACCCACTGCCAGCGTAAGATAAACAACGAGCTTAGGCTCACCTAAAAGCGAAAGGACTACACCTCCCATGAGCCTGTGCGGTAGAATGTCAGGCGTGCTACATGCAGGTTGCTGTTATCTGCAGATGAATAAGGAAAGCTCAAAGAATTACAGGCAGTGGGAGTAAAGAAGGATTGTGGGAGCTCTGAATTAACTATGTGCAAATCAGGTGGATGCTGAAATCATGGCTGTAGAAGGTGAGAGATCAATGTATAGGGGGTATAATTAATGTGTGTGTGTATATATTGGTGTGGGAGCTGTCATGTATTGTATAATTTGGAAACATAAACTGGACAAATTTTTCCTTTTTTCCTCTACATACCTGCATCACTGGCTGCTAAATAAATCTATTCTCTCTCATCATTTTTGAGCTGGTGATGACAGCCTCTAGAACAGCCAATCAGCAGTCTCTGCAGCATGATGTCATTGCCATGATGTCATATTGTTAAAATGTATACAAGGAGGTGAAAACAAGCTTTTACACTGCAGTAGTGTATGCTGCGATGGCTGTTCTTTAGGATACACGTAGCCAGCTTTTTAAGATTATTTAAATATTTGCTCATGTGGTGTCATTTAAAATATGTATCAACAAGGTTTACTTAAAACGATGAGCGTCATTTCAGTTGCAATTGAGTTGAATAAGAGGGAAATGTCATGTCTCATTGTAAATGTCGTCTTTCTTGCATTGAGGGTGTAACCGTAGGGCTAACAGGGACTTACGTTTAGGGTAAGGTGGGAATTAGGACTGTGGGTTTACGTTTAGAGGGTACCTGCGTAGGTGAAGCTGTGTAAACTGATGTCACTATTCAATAATGTCAAAACAATTTAGAACTGCGCACCGAAACAAGTATAAAATGAACTTGTAATGAAGCATAACATAAAAAGTATATATACATCAATGTAATATAATTCAATATAAACGCAAACACAAATCAATATAATTCATAACTAGAGGGCTGGGATTAAATGATGGGGGGACGGGGTTGGGAGGTTATAAAAGTGTCCTGTTCCAAAGAGAGGTGTAAAACGCAAAAGGCGGAAGCGTTACCAATAGAATGTGTGTTCTGTTTCCATGGTGATAGCTGCACTTTAAGTCACTTTGTTTTAATAGAACACTTTGCGTTCAGCTCTGCCCAAATGTTTTGGCGAACACTTCATGCTCTGGACAGGGGATAGATTATATTAGCAAAATCATTTAATTTATTCATACTAAAATTAGTTGATTGCTGTCAGCTTTTCAATTGGGTTTGACGACACCATGATCAGTCTTGCAGGATCAAAACAAAAAACCAATAGTGC